GAGCAGACCACAGACAATGACTGATCAAAATGGTGGTATAAAAGCGTGGGACCCTTGCCTCAAATAGGAACAATTTTGAAGGGACTCCCTCAACTTCAGAATTCCCTGTGGGAACTGCTGAGTTCTTCTTCAGGAATTCATTAAGGCTCAACTTCTTCCTTTGACCAATCTTGTTTTCCTTCCTCAAGGATTTTACAAAGAGTACTCCCTAATAAATTCCACATATCAATCTTCAACTCAGAGTCTGCTTGCAAGGAACCTAACCTGCAATAGTAAAGTCCAAAATAAAAACATATTTAGGAAAAAACAAAAACCCAAAACTGTGAAAATCCATTGCCAGTTGAGAGAAACTACAATAAGAACTAAAAGGAGTTCTTAAGAAAGAAGTAAATTTAATCCAGGTGAAACTCAAAACTGCAAGAAGATAAAAAACAAAAGAAAAGGTAAATGTATGAGTAATTATAAATAAATGTTGATTATACAAAACATTAACAGTAATGTCTTATAGCATTTAAAGAATACATAGACTAAAAAGGCATAAAAAATAATACAGTAAACAGGATGAGGTGACTGGCATTAAAGTTATCTATGATTTTAGCATTGTGAGAAAGTAATAAATTGTATTAGTTTATAATAGGTCAAATATGTACACATAAGATCCAGGATAACTACTAATAGAATGTTAAAGAATGCAAAACTAATTAGTAAATATAGGGAAAGTCATGTTTAACAATTGATCAATCCAGGAGAAAGACAGAAAAAAGACAGAACATGAAGCAAGTGAATCAAATAGAAATAAATAGTAATATCGTAGCTATAAGTCCAAATTCACCAGCAATTGCATAGAATGTAAATAGAGTAAATAAACTAAAAGTCTAAAATTATGAGACTGGAGGAAAAAAATTCCAACCATAAGCTGCTTAAAAAAGAAGCCATAAATATAAGGACACAATATTTGAATGCAAAGCAATGGCAAAAAGCACAGAATGTAAATGTTAATGAAAATAAACTTCATGTTGCTCTACTAATATCTACACTTAAAGTGTACTCATTTAAAGTACATTTTAAGGAAAGATATGTAGGTAAATTCGTCAATCATTCCTTGCTTTCCCTCTGGATTTAGTTAGAAAACCCTTTCCCACACAGATTCAAGAGGAATTCACCTGTTTCCTTCTGATACTTGTATGGTTTCATTCTTATTTAGATCCCTAATACATTTAGAGTTTATTCTTATATTGGTTGTAAAGTAAGAATTGAATTTTATCTTTTTTTTCCAAATGGTGATCTAGATGTTCCTGTACCAATAAAAACAATTCAATTTTTACCCAGTAATTTGAGATGTCATTTTTGTAAGAAACTGAATTATCATATAAATATATATGTCTAATCGTGGACTTTCTATTCTATTCCATTGGTCTATGCATGTACAAGTACCACATTAGTTTAAGTATAGAACTTTATGATATTAATGTCTAGAAGGGTCAGTGGCTCTTCAGAGTTTTTACTTTTCAGTCTTTTCTTAGGTATTCTTTCATTTTTTTTTTTTTTTCTATCTGAGCTTAGTATCAACTTGTTTCAGGCTGATATTTTTTCTAATGGTCTTTCTTTATCTCTACTATATTTTACATATTACAACAACATTAAAAACACATAGTGCTTACTACATGCCAGGAACTTTTCTAAATGCTTTCATGCATTAATTAATTTAAACATCAAAATAGCCCTTTGGGAATGGTAGTATTTTCATTCACATTTTAAGTGAAGAAACTGGGATACAGAGAGGTTAAATTCAAGTTAGAGATGAAATTCCATTTACGCAAGGAAGTCCATGTTCTTAAACACTTGGCTCTTCTTTCTTGAGCAGCATGGTTTCACTGAGGATCAGTGTATGCCTGGCTCCAGGTAGGAACTCTATGAGTGTTAATAGGCTGAGGCTGCATATGTAGCACACCAAGGAGTAGGGGAAGACCATATGGTAACTAATGAAAATCCCTGAGGACAAACTTCAGAAATTGACTTCTCCTGATGCTGGGCTGGACTGCTTGTTATTGGATGTAGGAGACTATGATGATAGGAGTGGAATTAACCAGGAAAGGCTTATGAAAGCATGTACCACATGAAGGGGGCTTTGCAAATCTTTCTCCTGGAAATTGTGTATTCATGATTCCAGTTAACAGCATGAAACTTTTACGTTATCTTGAGTTTTTAAACCAATCTTTACTCCTACAGAAGGCTACAGCTGAATGAGAATGGATTCATGGTGTGCTATTAGGGTTAATATCAGCATATCTGGCATATCATACCACCCATCAAGACAAGAAGATGTAAAATGATGTGATAATCTGCCTAATAAGCACCTATTAAGCTATCCTCTTATAGCTCACAGTGAGTAGAAACACAGACACATACACACACACTGGTGTATATGTAATAATTATTTCTCTTGGAGGAATTTTAAGCACCATGGCTAAGAGATGTGCAATTGTGCACAGTGGGTAGAATCTTGATGCTCACTTCTACCCAAACTTCTATCTGCTCTATGTAAAAGATCAGTTTATAAGGGTGAGTCATGGATTAGCAAAAGGAAGACTCTATAGAGGATAAAAATGAAATATTTCTGCTATTTTTTAAATTATGGACAGTATTCTGTGATTCTCATAAGAAAACAGAACAATTAGAATATATTTGATTCATCCTAATTTTTAACTTAGGTAAGTAAACTACATAAACTTTGTAAACTACCCTATAAACTAAGTAAAAGGTAATGTTGGGTCATGGTTGTGTTATTAAGGACGCAGTGACATTTTTCTCCTGAGTCCTGACACTCATTATTCCCTATAACCTATAACACTGGTTCTAAGGTTTTTAGCAGTAAGTGTGATGAAACATAAAGCTTGTAGAGAAAAAGTAAAATATTGAAGAAAATTAGTCCGAAATTCCACAGAGAGTTTGCAAAATCAATGTAGCTATAGAGATTTACACTCCTTCTTGACCTTCTGCCCTACTCTAAGATATTAATTTTTTTTTTTTTTTTTTTTTTTTTAGACAGAGTCTCACTTTATTGCCCAGGCTAGAGTGAGTGCCGTGGCGTCAGCCTAGCTCACAGCAACCTCAAACTCCTGGGCTCAAGCAATCCTGCTGCCTCAGCCTCCCAAGTAGCTGGGACTACAGGCATGCGCCACCATACCCGGCTAATTTTTTGTATATACATTTTTAGTTGGTCAATTAATTTCTTTCTATTTTTAGTAGAGACAGGGTCTCGCTCAGGATGGTTTCGAACTCCCAACCTCGAGCAATCCGCCCGCCTCGGCCTCCCAGAGTGCTAGGATTACGGGCGTGAGCCACCGCGCCCGGCCTAATTCTAAAGTAATGTATGTCTAAACAGTATAGAGATGATATAAAAATTATCATAATCTTGTTCTCTAGAAAATGATTCTGAAGGATTTTTATTTATTTAGAAATGTATATACTGGGAGTTCACAACTCTCCCAACAAAATGGATCTCCCAGGCAAGATTGTCACAAGAGATTTGGAAATAATAGAGACAGAGACAAAGTGTAGTTTAAAGTTATGAGGAAGTCAGGGGTCCTCCAGCATTACCATGAGCCAGGAGGCACTGAGTGAAGTCCCACTTCAGTATTTGTTGGTTCAGCAAGTAGTTGTCCTTGGTCATAGAATTATGTGTACAGATTATTCGTTTAGGTTTCAAGGGTCCCCAAAGGTTTCAAGGGATCCCTTACGTAAATGGTTACAAAATTTTTTCAAGATAAATACTTTAAGCCCTAAGTTAAGAATAGACCTAGCTGAGCATACAAGTTAAAGACAAAAATGTATAAAACAGGAACATCGAACCTGCATACTAAGCTAATCTATTTCTCTATATACCAAGTTATGTGGTTGGGAGTGAAACAGGAATAGCCTTGAGGTTTATGATAGTTCCAGCTGTAAGTTGTCTGCTGGGCTGACATCCCTTGATCAGTTTCTTAGCCTTGGGCCCCATGCTGAGCTCTGCCTTGCACAAGTTCCAGGTGCTGGCTTGCAGGCTTTGAGATCAGCACTGCTTTGCAGTTGTCCCAATTGATGGAATGCCCCTCTTCTTTCTAAGCAGCTTCTGTTTTGTTTACTAACATACCCAAAGATTCCTTCAAGGCAAAGCCCTGCAAAACTCCTGAAACTTTTCATGTCTCTTAGCCCTATTTCCCAATATGTATAGTATATTTTTATGCCAGTAGGACTCACACCATAAGTTGTTTTTTAGTAGAAAAGATGGGAAATGCCAAGCCATGAATGTCCAAATTCTGAACATTGGCTACATTAATAATTCCTTTAATAAACAACATCATGACCAAACATCATGCCTTACCTTGTGTAATAGAGTAGAAAGAATCAAATATATTCTTTTTTTTTCTGACTTCCAGTGGGAATGACAGAATATCATTCATAATCAAAACTAAACTAGAAGCCTATTCTCTTAAGCCCTAACCAATCTAAATAAGATGTAATCTAATCTACCTGTACAAATACAAGATTTAATGCTCAAAATAGGAAAATATGCATATTGTATCTGACAATAATACATTTTAAGGAAAATTTATTAGGTATGGAATATATTTTCTGGGGTCTCTAGATTAACCTGACAGTTCTTAAAAGTTTTGAAGGAGCTTAAATGACAAATAGTGAAATTTATTTTTTATCCAGTTTCCCATGGTGCCACTGGCAATACTTCCAAATTTTAGAATCCTCATTCACTTGAAGAAATTCTAACATAATATATCTTTTCTCAAATTATGAGATGGGATTCATCCATATGATACGTCAGTTCTGAAGAAACATGCTTGCCTTTAACATGGACATTCATTTATTTAACATAAACCAAGTTAATTTCCATTATGACTGGTGAGGTATTGTTGTGCTTAATGTTAATGTGTAGAAAGGAGCAGCCAGAAAATACCCAATCATAAAGATTTTAACAGTTTCCCAGAGTTCATCTCATTTCTCTGTGCCTCCATTCAAAGTCATCCTGATAACATATGGGAAAAATGGAGATTAAATAATATTTAAAAAATTTTAGCAAGTAGACCCCTTAGCCTTCTTTTGTCATTAACAAATATTAAAAAGGACTGAGCATTAACAAGAAATTCTTCCTTCTATATAAAGTGAGTACCCCTCATGGTCTTGCTATATCTCCTTTGTTCTTCATTTTGTATTGGCTCAGAAAGTCAAATATAAATGTCATTAAACTCAATAACATGAATGATTAAAACTATGCAGAATGCATGAGTGAATTATGGTGTTGGAGGTACTAAAGCTAGATAATTGAACAATTTATTTTGGCTCTCATTCAAGCATTTGGCACTATAAAAGCACATTTGAACTTTCTAGGAAAAATAAGTGCTTCTTCTGCACTATTTCTAAGATCTTTCTTTCTTATTTGTTGAGGACCTACTAAGTATAAATCACTGTGTTAGAAACTGGCATGGGAACAAAAATGGCTGGGGTCTACATTCATGGCTGGTATTTCACAAGTGTAGATTTCTGTTTCATCCTGGATTCAAGCCTTCCTGGTGAAGAATGCTGGACTTGGAGGGGCTTAAGAGGAACACCAGTGATTGTCAACTTAGAAGGAATATTCCACTTTCCAGACCTAGCTAAACCATTGAATTCCCCATCTCATTAAGTGCCTCTTCAATCTGTAATGCCAGAACATTCCTTATTTGCTAAATATAACAACATCTATAAAAGATGGGTCAAAAGACAATTTCAAAATTTGACCACCCCTTCCTATACTTCTGTACTCCCCTTCCCTAGCATCTTCTTCATAGCCTCTTTAACATCTTTGTTTCTTAGTGTATAGATTAGAGGGTTAACACTGGGAGTGACAATTGTGTAGAAAAGAGTAAGAAACTTGCCCTGGTCCTGAGAATAAGTGTTTGCTGGCTGGAGGTACATGTATATGATTGTACCATAGAAGAGAGACACAACAACTAAATGGGAGCTGCAAGTGTTGAAGGCTTTCTTTCGCCCAGCAGCTGACGTTATGCTAAGCACTGCCCGTGCAATATAACTGTAAGAGATGAGGATGAGGATGAGTGGTGCCAGGATGATAAAGATTGCCAAGGCAAAAGCCAGAGCCTCAAGGGTCATAGTATCTACACAGGCCATACCAATTAGTGCTGGCATCTCACAGAGAAAGTGGTCAACCCGTCTGTGCCCACAGCGGGGTAGCATCAATGTCTGGGGGGCCATTATGAGGGAATTGCCAAAGCCACTCAACCATGCCACTGAAGCCAGCTGCCCACAGAGACGTGGGTGCATAATGACAGTGTAGTGCAGGGGTTTGCAGACTGCAGCATAACGGTCATATGCCATGACAGCCAGGAGTATACACTCCACCCCTCCCAGGGCCAGGACAAAGTAGAGCTGGATGGCACAACCCACATAGCTGATGGTCTTGTCAGGGCCCCAAAGGTTGTAGAGCATCTGAGGGATGGTGCCTGTGGTGAAACACATGTCCAGGAATGAGAGATTGGCCAAAAAGAAATACATTGGTGTGTGTAATCGAGAATCCAGAGCTGAAAGCAAGATGATGGTCATATTGCCAAGAAGAGTCAGAAGATAAAAGGTGAGGACAACCACAAAGAGGATCAGCTCCAGATGGGGACGGTCAGAGAAGCCCACCAAGAAGAAGCCTTCAAAAGAACTTGTATTGTCCTTTTCCATCACCTGTGACCACATATTACCTGTTGGGAGAAAGATGAATGTATGTAAACAGCATAGATGTACTCCCTCAAAATGGAATGACTGGTGAAATGGTAGAATAAAAACTTCCTTGTATATGTGGGATGCTTGACCCAAAATTTCAATAGGTACTGATTAAGTCATTATTTGGTCTGAAGAGCACAATATTTGGGAGCTTTTCAGGCTTCTGGCTGTGATTTGCATCATTCTTTTTAATTTGTCAAGGCATAAAAAATTACTTTCAGAAGCTGATTATTATACAAGAGAATGAACACTCAACATTTCCCCCGCCCCCTTTTTTTTTTAAAAAATAGGGAATTTAGGAAATTTTCCTAGTCATACATAATCCATGATAAGAATAGTGGCTTGGATATCTGGATCAGAGAACCAGACTTGGTGTTAGGTGAAATCTCATTCTAAATACTGTCTCATCAATAATGGGAAACCTATTGAGTCATATCCAAATTCAACAGGGTACAAGTGATCAAGCAAGATCTTAGGAAGAAGATTACTTTATCATTGTTTATATCTACACTTCTGATTCCATCCAGTTTATTTACTGGAACATGACCCTGGCATATATATGTCAGACAAGATGATAATGAACAGCGTACACCATCACCTCAATATCCCCTCTAGCCAACCTATTCAAGTCCTCTGTGATAAAATGGTATTTTGCATCACTGAGGTGTATTTTAATCCTGGAACTGGGTGACTTTTCTGATGTTGGGAATTTTTTTTCTTATAAAAATTTAAAAGGAGTAAAGCAATTCCCAGAACTCAATGCCAGTGGAACTAATATTAAGCATTCTTTCAATAGTCTTTTCTTCCTTTTATTCACATTTTATTCTCACAAAGAACTCTACTTCCAGGAAGCCTAATTGAGTATTTTATTTAGCTGCCTCTTATAATCTCATAGAACAAAAAGATTTTGTATCTTTTAGGATATTTTATACTTTTAATTATTTGGTGGTAGTTTTATATCTTGGATGAATGTACTATATAATGTAAATTAGTCAAAGACAGAGTCCCCCTTACTAATATTTTTGAATGTTTTCCTTAGCAATTAGTAAAAAGTACTAGCGTTGTGACTCCCATTGAAAGGGAATGCATCTCCCAGGTATATTGGGGACAAAATAGGGCTCAAATCCTCTGCTCTAAGAATGCTTTGCCATAATTAAATTATGTTGTGATTTGTGTTCCCAACAATAGCTTTAAGATTTTGTACATCAAAACTTTGACACTTATTGGAATTGAAGGATTGTCTAATTCATCACTCCAGAGGCTGCAACAACCTTCTACAGTGGTGATGGATAAATACAATAATATCTAGGTAGATAGATAACCCTTTGATTTGATAACTAAGGAACAATACTTATTTATAATCAAGCCAGCATTGTTAGTAAAGGCTTTCTCTCCACCTCTTGTAAAATGGCAATTTTTTAAAATGATATTATATAATGGTTAAGAAAGAACATATAAGTATATACTAATGAACTAGAAGGGTAGATACAAAACTGATGATAGTGGATGCCTCTGTAGAGGAAACTGGGTCAATGACTGGGACTTTCTATCTATAATGTTTTATTTAAGAATAGCTGGAAGAAAGTATGACCATAAAGGAACAGTTATTGTCTGAATTGTAGAGTATCTGTATTTTTTCTATTAGTCTTTGTAAATTTCTATGTTTTAAATATCTCAAAATATTTAAAAAATCATTTCTTATAAGTTATTTAAATATTAATATAACTAATAGTATGTACCTCTTATGAGCTAGGCACTAATCTTAAGTATTTGTTACAGTTTACCTCATTTCATTCTCAATGAAGCCCCAGGAGGTAGCAGTTTTATTAGCCAACATTACAGATTAAACTACTAAACCTAAGGGGGTGATGAAATAACCTGCCCCAGATTACAGAGCTGCTACATGGAACCAACTAGATCCCCTGTGATTTCACTCCATAGATCACTCCATCAATCACAAGTCTAACTGTAGAGTTGAGCAGTACAGTAATTATACCAAATCTACAAATAAAAAACGAAATGAGTTGTAACATTGAGACTGCAACTTAGGTCTTTTGATTTGTTACATGAAATTTAATATCTTATAAATAAATTTATAAGAATCTTATAAAGAATCTTATAAAGTACTTCCACTTTTAATATAAAGAATCTTATTTAATATAAAGAATCTTGGTTATAAATTGAAGAAGGCAAGTAGGTGGCTGTCATGGTATTACAGGTAAAGATGTAGACAAACAAACCACATTTTTACTCAGAAAATGAGAAATACAGTTAAAATTTGCCCATCAGCATGTATTAACACAGAGTTTATTGGGTACAGAAACACTGCTATTATAGAATGAGCCTAGGCCAGGCATCATTTGTCCCTACTGAAAGGAAGTGCAAGGTGACTGTGATTGATAGTGAATGTCTCTTTCCATGGTTATTATATTCAGAATTTTCCTTATTACTTATATGTATATACATGAATATTTATTGACCATAAAGTAGAACACAAACCCAAGTTATTTTATTTCTACTTCTCAAATCAACCATGGATTATTCAATTAGGATTATCCTTATGAATTTTTAATTCTTTTTTTTTTTTTTTTTTTTTGAGACAGAGTCTCACTTTGTTGCCCAGGCTAGAGTGAGTGCCATGGCGTCAGCCTAGCTCACAGCAACCTCAAACTCCTGGGCTTCAGCGATCCTTCTGCCTCAGCCTCCCGAGTAGCTGGGACTACAGGCATGCGCCACCATGCCCAGCTAATTTTTTTACATATATATATCAGTTGGCCAATTAATTTCTTTCTATTTATAGTAGAGACGGGGTCTCGCTCTTGCTCAGGCTGGTTTTGAACTCCTGACCTTGAGCAATCCGCCCGCCTCGGCCTCCCAAGAGCTAGGATTACAGGCGTGAGCCACCGCGCCCGGCCTGAATTTTTCATTCTTATTCAAAGTTTTCCTGGTGGTTAAACCATCTATCTGCCTGTCTCCTCATATTGTCACATCAATTCAATCATTACTCTTCCTTACCAAACCTTCCCTTTGTGAGGGATGCATTCCTGCATTTATGGACTTTAAATAACTAATGGCTAATTTCTCTGTTTGCTGAGAATATTATTTTAAATGATGAGTGTGTCTATCCTTATTTGAACCCAGTAGAATGGCTTCTAAACACAATAACATGACAGTTTTCTCACAAAAGCCGTGCACATTAATTATTTAATTACAGTGATACAATGTATCAATTCTCATATTTAAATATGTTTTCATTGTTTTGGAAAACAAGAAAAACTTGTATATCCTCTATGATGTCTATATTATTGACCAGGTAATTTAAATTTCACACTATTTTTTAAAAAATTGAACCAAATAATACTCTAATATTGACTATTACCTAATTAGCTTATAAAGAGCAAGAATAGGGATTTACTGCTTAGAGTATTTAGAGGAATGGATTATTAAGTCCCAGGGTTAAGAAAGGTATGGGCACTTTATAGCTAGACAAGTTGCTCATTGTTTTCCAAATGAAAAATGAGGTAAATGCAAAGCCATAGGAGGTCCAGAAGAACAATTTTTGTTTCTTACATTGAGTTTCCATGTTGGAGTTCAAAGTCTCAGTGTCAATACTCACTACTCACAATTGCTGAGGGCTCATTATTCAATATACTCTTGTGTGATGCAGGACTATAATTGACTATAATTAACAATTTTATTCTTAAAATTTTCTAATTCAATAAATTCTATGACTTTCTAAATTCATTTTTTGATAAGAACTCCATTAAAGAGCTCAAAATCTCTCTCTAGCTTTCTCACCGAATGTGTGTTATTAAACCACAATCTTTAAAATTTGACCAAGCATATGCAAATAAAGTATATAGACAGACTGTGGGGTATTGGCATAATAAATTTAATTGTACATGATTTGGCCATAGCCTAAGTATCTTAAAAAACAAAACAAAACAGTACATTGTGTAGTTTAGAGGTCTAGGTCACATTCCTTCTTACACAAGATCATTAACTTACCAAATTTGACTGCAGCCTCAGAAATGCCATGTCCACATTTCCTTTTCTTTCTTGAGACTTCATTTGGAAGTCCAAGTGGGATGACCAGAGTGTAGACAAGGAGAGGAGAAAGAGCACATTTAGGAAATCTATAAGAAAGGGAAAAAGATAAAGACACAACAAGACCTAGCAGAGCTGAATCTGAATAGAAGGAGAGAGAATGTTGATGAGCACACAGTGGTTGGTTATACTACCTGAGGTATAGCTACAAGGTACTTCCACATATCCCACCCTCTAGCCCCAGATAAGGAGCCAGATAAGCAGCAGCATAAGGGAAGCTGGGTTGATCTCTGATGTACACTCAGCACAGCAAACTCTTTAAAGATCAAAGGATTCAAAGAACTCCTCTGAGTTTGAGAAAAGGAAGAACTCCTCATGGGTTTCAGAGTTGAAAAAAGATCAGATACTTCCTTTTCTGATCACCCAATGGAGTAAAACTTTATTTTTGAAAATTCCCTTAGCTAATTATCTCTAACAAGTGTTGGGAGAGTGTATAGTCTCAAAGGAAATATCACTCTTCCCAACACACACACACACACACACACACACACACACACACACACACACATTGCAGATTCACCCAGGAGAGAGACAGAGCACCACTCATCTTCACTGAGTCTATTTTCATCATCAAGACCAGTACTTAGTAACAAGCATTAAGACACTGAAAGTGGCCACCTTATACTTAGTTCAGATGGAACCTAGAGTTAAGGAAAAGTTGTACCAGGACATATGTGCACCTTGGTTTCCTCTCTCACTTGCTTAGCGCATGTAGTGCTATTATTTAAGTGCCTTTACCATTTCATTTATAAAAGATTAATTTTCTATGCAATTTTAAGACCCATAACAATAAAGCTTAACTTGAATATTTCTATTTAAGACAGATATATTGAGAGGAGGGTGGATTTAAAAAGAAAATGATTGTGACATTTACAATTAACACAAAAAAACAAAAAATAGGCCAAAAATATTAAAATAATTTTATTTCAATTTACCTTATTTGGTATAAAATTATTAAAATTACCTAAAGAAAATTACTATGCATCTGGCTGAGGAATGACATCAGCTAAGTCAGAATAAATGATTTTAATGTTTAAAAAGACAATAAATAGCAGCATGCATATGTTGTTTCAGATCACTTTATTATCTGTTACAGTCATAAGGTAAACAATATAGAAATAACTGCATCTTAAAAGCATGTATTCTATATTTAGCTATCAAAAACTTCTAAGGGAGATAAATTTCACATTTTACCTCTCCAGCCAAAGGTTTTAATTGATATGTATGATATACTCCATATAAATGTACATTGTACATTTAAAATATTATTTAAATTTTAATAATCCTTATTATTAAAAATATATTATGGTCTTGTAATTTCAATGACCATTTCCAGGTACTTTTTTCAATAGAAATGGAAAATATCTGGTCATTACATGTTAAATATTATTTTTAAATATAAACATTATTAAGATCATATAATTTTAATACTACTAATTATATTGATTAGGGATAGAATATATTAGTTAGAAGCAGTGATAATATTATCACTTTCATTAATTTATAAACAAATGGCACACAATAATTTTTTTTCTGTCAACAGAAATGTTGAAATACATATATGAGCAGTCAAAACTAATCAATATTAATTTTGTATTCCAACAAACTTCTTGGCACGGTCAGATGAGCTATTCCCCTGAGAACCACGTTTTACACCTAGATTCATTTATTAGCTTTTACTACCACCTCTTAGCCTAATATTTTATCATGGAAACTAAGGAGAAACACCTAGAGAATTGGATGCTCTCAAGAATTTCCTATCTGAGATAATGAGTCCCTCTGAGAAACAAAGGAGATGAGGTCCTCATGGAGCAGTTAACTCAATGAAGGATGTGAAGTTGTTAACCAAAGAAGAAAATTTAGAAGCAATATTTAAATTTACTTTTTGACACCTTGCTTCTATCCTTTTTGGCCCATCACCACCACAACCCATTACAAAACATTTAAACTTGTAACTAATGGAAATATTATAGTTGTGGGAAGCTACTTTCTGTGATATAAAATAATACAATCCAAGTGTTATTTGTGATTGCAAGAAATGCTTACCAGTATGTTACCATATGACTTAATATGACATCATAAAATGTCTTCAGAAAAAGAAATGAAGTCTACATCAGTCATCTTTTCTATCAAATGCAAACACATTTAATTCAATTCCGTTTTATTGAAATGTAATCTAATTACTATCATTGTAGCTTTTGCAGAAGCAAAGAACAGATTTATAATACCTTTATCACATGTATTCCTAAAATTTGATGTCAAATATCCATCATTTCTTTGAGCTTTATTTCCCAAATCTGCTTTTCTTGATTTTCACTTTTTTGTGATTTGTCCGGTCACTAAGTCTTGAAACACCACAGTTTTCTTAAGTCATCTCTTTCCCTGAATGCTCACTTCAATAAGTTTCTAAGTCTACCTGTGACACCTGTCTTTCATAGCTCTGATCTCATTTTCATTTCCAATGCTCTTGCCCTAGCCCAGTAGCTGATTAAACTCTTTTATGATTTGTTACAAGGGCCTGTTCATTTGTTAATCTCTAGTGTCTCACTACTTCAAATCACCTCTCGTTTGCTAAAACAGGAGCTTTTCTAAAGTACAGGTGTTATCATGCTGGTACTTCAAGTTCTGAAGTGGTCTTTATTGCTTAGAGAAATACATGTACATTTTTTAATGTGGATGTTGGTTCTGGACCAACTTTGCATTTCCAGTTCTATCTAGAGACCTCCTGCTTATTTTATGCTCCAAATGTATTATACTACTGACCATTTCCCATAAACAATGAAAAAGTAAATTATCTCTGGAAAATAAATTGGAATAAAGGGAAAGAATAGCCTTTGGAGAATGGCTCAAACTCCAGCTCAGATACAATCACTGCAGGCTTAAAAATTAGAAAACCTCATTTACTATCACTTGGGAGAAAAATTACATTGAAGAGTTATTGTAAAAGTTAAATTAGGTAAGAAATATTAAATATACAGCATTGTCCCTGACATACAGTAGATCTTTGATAATTGTTATCTTTCCTAACTGCATGCCCTTGCTTATGATGTTCTCTCAGATGAAGATGTTTATCCCATAAAAATAACACTAAAATACTCAAGGCCCAGTTGAAATATTCTTCCTGGAAACTGCTCTTGTTCCTCCCTGTTTTATCTGGCTATTCTTTCATGTGGGTTCTAGAAGCTCTTTATTTGCAATCCTATTTTAGCATGTATTTCACTCTATATTGGATGTTATTTCATTTTAATGAAAACTTAGAGGTGGATGATTGGGGTGAATTCTTGAAATTAAAAAAAACAAAATGTACATATAGATAGAGGACAAGGGTAAATTTAGAAGAATTTAGCAAGATGAAAGAATCAAAACGCTTATCGTAGTTGGTATGTGAGGGGTTATGGGAGGAGGGGTAGAAGATAGTGAAGTGGAAGAAAAAGAAGCCCCCTGCCTGACCTACCTAAGGGAGAAAGCCCCTTGGTGGAAAATAACATCATCCGATGCCTCCCTCTCCACTTACACAAACTCCGGTATATAATAAAACTTTTCTAGATGTGAGAAGAAGCAAGGAAACCATATGATCAATAATCAAGATTTTTTTTAGGAGGCCCTAGAAAGTGATTCCTAGATAATCCAGATTTTAAAGTTAGCAAATAAATATTTGAACACGACTATGATTAACTTGTTTGAGGAAAATATGGAGAAAACAGATGAACCCATGGGATGTCACCAAAGAGTTGAAATAGATATAAAAAGAATAAACTATACATTCTAGAAATGAAAAGTAAAGTAATAAAAATTCAGCCTAGGTTTAACATCAACATCATAATATAGGAATAGTGATAGAAATAAACTAAGTAGGAAAAAAACCAAACTGACGATAAGAAAGAAAAACAGCCCCCCTCAGGGGTGCTGGGGCCGCTGGGCCGGCGGGCGGCCGCGGGCGGGCGGGGTGCAGGCAGGTCGGCGGCTCGGTCCGCGGTCTCGCCTCTCTCCCGTTCAGCCCGCGGCCATGATGCCCCAGTCGCAGCCCTGGGAAGAGTTCAGCCGCGCGGCCGAGCAGCTCCACTTCACCGACCCTATGAAGGCACATGTGGTTCTCAAATATAGGCATTCGGATGGGAGTGTGTGTATTAATGTAACAGATGATTTCGTTTGTTTAATGTACAGAACAGACCCACCTCAAGACGTAAAGAAGATTGAGAATTTCCACAGTCAACTAATGTGATTTATGGTAGCCTAGGAATCCCGCAGTGTTGCCATGGAAGCAGACTGAACGGTTTGAAATGGAGATTCTGTTTGTCATGTTGTTAGGAAGTGAATATCTTTTGAATTTGAGAAAATGTTGGAACAGAAAATACTTTGTGTAACTAAGTGAAGTATTCAAAATCCAAGAGATCATTTTTTGTATTTTCTTTTAAATGTTTACTTTAGAGAGCTAGGAATGTAAATGCTTTCAATTAGAAAACCTTTATTTATTTTTAGAAATTGAACAAGAATTGCATCTATCTTGGAAACTTTTTGTGGATTGTTTGATGTTGGGTAAAATGTATAATTCTCTGATAAATTTGTATGAGTAATTTGCAAATGAGATATCAAGAAAAGCCAGTTCTTCCACCAATTTAGTTGATCTGTCTTTAAAAGAAAATGAAATGTAACCATTTTGATAAATCAATATATTTCTTTTGGAGCATAAAATTTGTGCTGTTGATGACCAATAAATATAAAATGTGGTAACTGGAATTAACTATACACGATAATATACCTGATTGTATACAGTAGTGTAGTCTTATTAGATCTAAAAAAGTAATAATGGGCCGGGCGCTGTGGCTCACGCCTGTAATCCTAGCTCTTGGGAGGCCGAGGCGGGCGGATTGCTCAAGGTCAGGAGTTCAAAACCAGCCTGAGCGAGACCCGTCTCTACTATAAATAGAAAGAAATTAATTGGCCAACTGATATATATA